ATTCATTAATTAAATCTAAAATGACATTTCATTCGTTGTTATACTTTCTTTTTGTTTTAATCAAGATATCTACTCCACATATCTTTAAACAAGATATATTAAAATATTAATATTAGATTAACTGCTTCATATTTTTGTGTATTTCGATAGTGTTTTATATAGTCTCAAGCCCATTTTCACATAAACCGTTATGCTTTGTGTGCTTAAGATGAATTTAAATGGAAAATTAGATAAATATGTAGATAAGGTAAATCTCGTTCGGAAGTTTGCGTCTGCATCAAAAGCGAAATGCGAAAAGCACGAGCAAGAAAATACACAGACAGAAAAATATACGTACATACATAAATATGTATGTGCATGTATGTACATATGTACATATATCTGGGTAATATGCTAATCTAAGAGTCTAGGAAACAAAGGGGCCAATTAATCTACTAACTTTCACTGTGGCCCACAGATGTTTCACTTTTATTATATGCAAATTCACACAAGTTCAAGCACTCTAAATGGTCTTGAGTGGGGCGGAGCGCAGAGTATTTGGTTAACGAGCATCTCTCACGGATCTAAGACCCCATTGTTGTCTGACCAGCAGCTATTTTCGGCCAGCGGATGTTCCTCGGGCAGCTGTCGAGCCTAAACTTAAAGGATCTATGTATCTCGACAATTGACGATCGCATTTTAGTAACGAGTTCGCTGTGTCAGCGCTGTGACGCGTGCGTCACACAGATACAAGAATCAACTGGATTGCCAGATACGAAACCCAAAAAAGAAAACAACGCTAATATACATATACATATATACGTATGTAGATATGTATATGCAAAAATTGCTTTTGCTGTACTGCTAAACCCGTTAATTGGCTTTCAAAAATGCACGCTTTGCGAATGTGTTTATACCCAAAGCTGTCCAAAATATATGCAAAATACTGTATGTATATATATCCATATGTATATGTGTGTGTGTGTGGGTTCTCTTTTAGAGTTGGGCGTGTGTCGTGTTTACCTATCGTAGCACGAAGTGAGACAAACAACTTTTACAGAACAGAACATTTTTGTTTGATGGAATTGAGTAAATGCTCAAAATTGGTTTGCATTTGAAGGCAGACTGTAAACATGAATTTAAAAAATATTTATAAAGACATTATTTTTTAAAATTGCTATTAAAGCAATAAAAAGTAAAAGTTGCAATATTGTGTTAACTATTATTATTATTATTTTTTTTTAATAATTAGCTAGCTTGCTAAGTAACTATAAATATAAAATATTTCAAAAAATCGTGTTTGTACCGTGTTTTAGCTGCTCGTGTCTAGAACAAATCAAACTACAGAGTACAAAGTGTGTGTGTATTGCGCATCAAAGGTATCTGTGTACCGCACGTATATATGTATATGCGTGGAGAGAGCAAAGGAGTGCGAGAATGAGAGAGTTTTACAAGAGTTGCGCCTGCTTTGTGTTCGTTTATATGGACACGCGCAAGCGCGAGGAGCTAGTCACGTCGTTAGAGATGAATTCCAAAGAATACAATTAAATTGCAAAATGTGCCTGGAATAAGCAAACGCATACGAGTGAGCATTTGCTCCTTCCAGCCGTGGGCGCTGGTAACTCTCGTTTCCGCAAGCAATTAAAATGGCCCTGGGCCAATGATTTTTATGTTTTCATACGCGTTGCCTGCGCCCGTGTCGAAACACACACATACACATCTATAATTCCAGTTTCCAGCCTTTTGCTTTGCCTTTTGACTTTAGTCTATATATAGCATATGTATGTATGCATGTGTGCATGTGTGCGCGGGTGAGACAGCTGCTGCTGTTGGTGGTGCCTTTGCTTGTTGTTGACATTTGCTGTCGTTTCACCCCCACGAGGATGTCGCGACTGCGCCCTCTTTTCCAATTTTCCAATCGATTCAGGGTCACGTTTTATGCAGCAGCAGCAAAATAGTACGGTTCGCGGTTCACTTAGATGAGATTGCTCGACTAGCAGATAGACTTTTTATAGTTTGAGATATATGTATATATATATTTTCTCATCTACACATAGCGTAGAATTCTTGACCTAAGTCAACACTTTTATGTCTTTTTATAATCTCCGAAATATGAGCACTAAATAAAATACGAGCTTAAAGAGTCAAATTGAACGACATTTAGAGTGAAGTGGTATATCTATAAGTGGTACACACTTTGCATTTATATTATATATGCCTATTGACATGTAACATTCAGTTAAATATACCCATTTTAAATTTGTATAAGAGGTACAAGAAACATTCACAGCATATACGAGCAGAAACGAAGCGGATAAAACTCTCAGTGCTCTCAAATTTTTCAGCTTGGCCGAAAGGGCAAATACGAGTTGTCATCGTCTTTGTTGTTGTTGCTGTAATCCGTTGCGCTTACCTGTTGCTGTTTGTATTGGTGCTTCCGCTGCTGCTGCGCGGCTGTGGAGTGTTTTGCCGGTGTTTTATGATTTTTTGTTTGTAGTCAGGGTCGCTCGTTCTGTTTCGCTTGCTTTCCGTTTTGGCGAAATACTGAATCTAATGTTTACGAATTAAAAATTTTGATTAAAACACGAGCCAAAGAACGCGCCGAATTGCGTTTTAGGGCTTTCGTTAATTTATGTTGTCCGTTAGCAGTTTAATGTGCTGCAGAAGGCAAAAATGCCATCGAACACAATTTTTTGTTGACGTATTTCAATAGAGTGTGTTGTTTATTAACTAAAATTTCATGTGATCTCGTGTATAATTGCGCCAAGTGCGCCGCACCGACCGCAGCGTTCGATGTTTATCTTACGACTGCCCGATATGTCCAATTCGACATATCGTTATCGAAGCGCAACTCAAAATGGCATGCAAATATCGATAGAGCCGATAATATAATTTATATTTGAAAAGCAGTGCTGTAAAATGTATGAAAACGTTGCGCAGCACTCAGCTTTGGCTAGCATGTTGCTGCATATCGAACTGATTGGCCGCATGACGCATGAGCATGCGGCAAGCATATGGCATGTTGCCATAATAGCTGAGACATTTGGCCGTGTGTAGAAATATAAATATGCAATATGCTTGATCTACGGTACTTTACGCGGTATATAGAAATTTGAAATTATTAAAGCTGACTAATCTATCATAAGATTAGATTAGACTGCATTTATATTACTAATTGATAAGAATACGCATTTTAAAATGCAAGCAGTAAAAATGTCTATACAGTTTGACATTTATTGGTCGTAATGAGTGAAATAATCACAAAGCCTCAAAGTCTGCAATGAAAACTGAGCGTATTTCTAACCAGTTTTTCTGTGTGTTGCAACATTTTATGAGGCAATGACAATTTTTTGCTTAAAAATGTATTCTGACCAAATCTGCATTAACTGAACTACACAAGATTCCAGTTTGTCCAGCGATTTGACCATGGGGATTATCAAATTCATGTTGTTTATGTCGAAATCGGGACGCATGAGTAATTGATGAATTTAAGATAGTTTTGCAATGTTGCTCTCAATTGACTTGGCGGATGCTCATGATCATCCGATCTCTGTGCCTAATTAGCTGTAGAGAGAAGAAGAAACATGAAGAAGAGACGTTATGGCAAGAGCAACATTATTTGCCATAAAGCATTTCATCTTCTTTGTGTTTTCACTCAAAACTCCAATTGGAGTTCCAGCATTTTCTGGTTCGCCCTAACCTGTTTATGTTCGTCTTCCTTTGTCTTCGGCTCCATGCGATTCGTCTGCGAATTGGATCTCTAATTGGATCCAATTGAGTCTGTTTGGCTCCAATGGCGACCGTATCGTACGATACTCGGCTGGTACAGCCTTACAGCGTGATTCTTCAGACATTTCGACTCAATTGATTTCCCATAAAAAACAATAATTGCCGTTGACAAATTCCAATTGAAGCATAGAGTTAAATGAGCCTCGGCGTAAGTGAAAACCTGCGGCAACTCGAGACCATTTAGCATTATTTATTTGAGCGAATGTCTGAGAGTAGCTCGAGCAGAAAGTTACTCACTTCAGTTGATCGACGGTATGATACCCTGAAATATCAGATAGTTATTGAATTTTAAATTAATTAATACATCAATAAAAGCTTTCTATTTATTTATTTATTTTTTTTTTTTTTGCATTTTTAAATAAATTTTCTATCCAGTATCGAATTGTTTTTGCAAATTGAACTTCGATTCACAGCAAAAAAATGTCTTCGAGCGCTATCTACATAGCGTAGGTATGTATTCACGCATATGGACGATACGACCATTCAGACTACAGGGTAGATATCAAAAATTGTTTATTTGGGGCTTGACTGCATTGATATTCGATAGCATACTTGTACATACAACTCAGGATTGGGACACATACAACAAATATTTCTGATAGACCTGCTGAATTGATGACATCTTCCATCTATTCGCATCACTCATAAGGCATTATGCAAATATTGTTGTTGAACTTTAAAAGCAATTTTGCTATTTTTACAGTTCAATGGAGCAGACTGTCTAAATACAGCCACGTAAATACATACGTGAATGTGTACATTGTCTAAAGTATTTGAGTATGTTATATATGCATATACATACGTATATGTATCTGTGTGTGTGTGTGTCTAAAATGTGAACATGTGATAATGCGCGGGATGCGTCATACCTTAATGCGTAAGCTGGTTGAAAACCCCCCTTGCATTAATAGTAATCATGCTTATAGGGTAGCAAAGTTTGTTGTTGCCGGCTTTGCTCTCTCCTCTGCACCCGCTTTTGCAATCATTCGCGTGCTCCTTCTGCCCTCTGCCCTCTGCCCTCTCCTTCCCTACTACTCTCTTCTAATGGCTGGATAAATTTCTCCGATGCAAACAGAGCGCCATTCTTTTTGCGCTCTCTCCCACTATCGACGTCTCGCTCTCGCTTGCTGGGCGTGCGACGCGTCGGTTTTCGTGATGGATACGCGGCCATTCGGCTGTGCGCCAGTATATGGGCCAAGTATATCGTGTTGTAGCGTCGGCAATAAAGCTTTTAGTCTTTCGTCGGCCTTCAATCGCGCAGCTTAGTTCAGCGGGCAAACCTGACGCATTTGCCGCATGCGGGCCAAAACCTAACAGAAAACAAAAAAAAGCAAAAAAAGAACAAAAATTCAAATTTATTTTTTTGCTGTCGCACGATTCTTCTGAGAATTGCAACATTTTGCTAGCAATTCGTGTGCCGAAAACTCGCTCTGAATCGGCAGTTCTTGCTAAATTTTTGGGCAACACGTGTTGCTGCCAATGAGACAATTACACTTGCCTCTCTCTCTAGCGGCCTCTCCCTCTCTCTCTCACTCTTAATTACGTCCGCCTCCGGCGGGGTACAAAGTACACGTCACCGTCACAGCTGGCACAAGCGTTAATTGGCGAGCGGGAATCCGAAGAAGAAAGCAGAGAAACCGAACAGCAGAGCAGCAGAGCAGCAGAGCGGAGAGTAGCGAAACCTTTTAGTGATTGACGAACTGCGCTAAAGGCCAGTCGAGTGTCGAGAGTCGAGAGTCGAGAATCGGACAACGGAGCAATGGGCTACGATGAGGTTATCGTTCAGCTGGGCGACTTTGGCCGCTACCAGAAGATCATCTATGTGCTCATCTGTCTGACCTCCATACCGGTGGCATTTCACAAGCTCGCCGGGGTTTTTCTGCTCGCCAAGCCGGAGTTCCGGTGCGCGCTGCCCACGGATGTGGATGGGGCCAGTTACGAGCTGCCGGCGCAGCTGCAGCAGCTCGCATACCCTGAAAAGGACAGCTGCGCCTACTACGAGGTGGCCTACACCAATGGCAGCTACCATCGGCTGAGCAACAGCAGCCAGAGTTGCACTCGCTACATCTACGATCAGAGCAAATACCTGAATAGCGCCGTCACCGAGTTCAACTTGGTGTGCGGACGTGGCTTTCTCGCGGCTAGCAGTGATTCCATGTTCATGCTGGGCGTGCTGCTGGGCAGCATTATCTTCGGGCAGCTGAGCGACAAGCACGGTCGGAAGCCTATCTTCTTTGCCTCGCTGGTCATCCAGGTGATCTTTGGCGTGGTGGCAGCCCTGGCGCCAGAATACTTCACCTATACGCTGGCCCGCCTCATTGTGGGCAGCACCACATCCGGTGTCTTCCTGGTGGCCTACGTCATCGCCATGGAAATGGTGGGTCCCACCAAGCGCCTGTACGCTGGCATCTTTGTGATGATGTTCTTCTCCATGGGCTACATGCTGACGGCGGTCTTCGCCTACTTCATCCACGACTGGCGCTGGCTGCAGATCGGCCTGACCCTGCCCGGGCTGGTGTTCATGTGCTACCATTGGATCATACCGGAGTCCGTGCGCTGGCTGCTGTCCAAGGGCCGCAACGAGGAGGCCATGCAGATCATACAGAAGGCGGCGCACTTCAATCGGGTGAACATCACGAAGGAGACTTTGGTCGCTCTGCTGGACGAGGGCGTCAGCTGCAAGCAGGAGGTGAAGGAGGAGACGGCTAGGCCGCCCTCGGTGTGGGATCTGCTGCACTATCCCAATTTGCGCCGCAAGACGCTCGTCATCTTTTTCGATTGGCTGGTCTGCACTGGCGTCTACTACGGCCTCTCCTGGAGCACCAACAATCTGGGCGGCAATGTCCTGCTCAACTTCTTAATCTCTGGCGCCGTGGAGATACCCGCCTACTGCTTCCTGCTGTTGACCCTGAACAGATGGGGCCGTCGCTCCATACTCTGCGGCTGCATGCTGGTCGCCGGTGTCAGCCTGCTGATGACCATCATCGTGCCACAGCATATGCACTGGCTCATCGTCACGTGCGCCATGGTGGGCAAGCTGGCCATCACGGGCTCCTACGGCACCATCTATCTCTTCTCCAGCGAGCAATTCCCTACGGTGGTGCGCACGGTGGGCATGGGCGCCGCCTCCATGGTCTCTCGGCTGACTGGCATGCTGGCGCCCTATCTAAATGCCCTGGCCACCATTTGGCCACCGCTTCCCCTGGTCATCTATGGCGCCCTCTCGCTGGCCGCCGGCTTCATGTCGCTGATGCTGCCGGAGACGCACAACAAACCGACACTGGAGACGATCGCGGATGGCGAGCGATTCGGTAAGAAGGAGCCAACCGATGCCTACTTGGAAACAGGCAAGGAGCTGCGGGAGACATTGGAAGCACAACCCCTAAATGCGGCCATGCTCAATGGCAACGGGCACAAATACTGAGCAAGTCAAGTAGCCGAAGACTTCGGCACATGTCGAAGATGAAATTCCTTGTAGACAATATCCATACGGATATACGTTTTGAGAAGTACCTCAAGAGATCTGAGGATAAAAGTTCCAAATTTGATACGAAAAGTAAGTTTAATGATGGGCCTATATTAGGATTTCCCTATATAGAGACTTGGATATTCTTCCTTAATTATAGTTCCATATTGATAGATATTGATATTGATAGATATTCTCTAAAATACCAAGTTTTTTGTCCGAATTTCTGATAGACTAATAAAGTTTGGCAGTTATATCATTTAGTCGTCCGATTTTTTCATATTCAACTCCTATGCACTAGAAAGACAAAGACTTTGACTCATTTGCTTGAAAACAGACAAGTATAACGCTGTTTATTAGACATCTATAGGTCTTCCACGTTCCATAACAATATTCATAGCATCGCCTCTACAAGGGTACTAAATAATAAGATCTTTGAACTCGAAAAAAAGAATATTTTCAACTTAGCTGTGGCTTCGGCTAGACTAGACTTCATTTTGAGTGCCCTACGTGAGCTTTTTTTTCTTGAGATTCCTCAAAAATTAATTTTTGCTAATTAGCTAAGGCCAAGCTTGTCGTGGGTCATTAACCTTCTAGCTGATGTATTTACAGCTATATTTTCCTATAAAAGACAAAGTATTATTTTTTTGAAATCTCATATGCATGCCAAAAAAAAAAACAAAAAAGGAAAAAGTGAAAAAAAAAAAAACAGCGCATAGAAAATTCTTCTCTTTTAGGCATTTAGCAGGGCTCAGTAGCATCACTAGGGGGTAGGTTTACTGTTGTCCTGCCCAATATTCCATTTAGGGATTGAAGAGGGAGAAAAGAAGTTGATAGTGTGCTCTACTGCAACCCTGTGCCCATTATGACAATGTATTATTTTTACTCTCTATGTATATGTATCTGCATCTCTGTATGTCTGTATGTATACGATAAACGTAGTACTTACTTAATTACTTACGACTTAACATTATATCGAATTTCTAGACAAATGTACTTATCTCTATGTACTTATATATTTAATATATATTGCGAAATTGTATCTATTCCTGGACCAAAGTAAATAAATCTTAACTCGAAATAAATCTTAACTCATATTTCGTTTCTATAAATTTACTAGATCTAAATTTCTTATAGCCTATAATATATTGCCTCATTTGTCTAACTTCACACCCGGATTTAGAAATTTGTTCGCAAATTAAATTCGTCTCGTGTCGTCTATTTAAGGTCGTAAAGTCTGTAAAGTATGGAGCAACGTGCTCAATTTTAATATATTTTTATTTTTTAATTTAACAGATGTTTAAACCTATTTCCGTTGTTTCTACTCTTGTTCCTCGTCTGTTTGAATTTCTTATCTGCATTAAGAAAACACGAGACTCTGGTTATCAGGCAAAAAAAAAAAAAAAAAATTAATTGAATTTTTAACAAGTGTAATCTATACTTATTTTGACTCAATACAAATTCCATTTCAATATTTATTAAACATTCTTAGCAAACTCTCAAATATTCAGAATACATGAGTCAATTTTATAGGAACTCTTGACTTAGAGAACCATGTAGACTTTATAGCCAATAACCTTTCCGGACTGCCTATAAACGAAGCAGATGTCAACGCTTCGACAAATCATTTAGCTAGAAGAAAAAAACAAATAATTTTATTCACTTTCTGAATGAATACAGTTATAGCGTTAGGCTTATGTACATACATATAATAAATTCAGTCGTCAACAGTAATTTAGATGATAAGCTAAGAATTTATTGTTTATTTACATGTGTTACATTTTCCACTCGGCTCGGTCAAGTTTACGCTGAATATTATCATATTTATTGCTCAGAACGTTTCGATGCTCAACAAAGTTGCAAAACTTGTGAGCGAGAGCGAGAGAGAGAGAGAGGGCAAAAGAGAGAAAGACAGATAGAGCGAGAGCATTCACTGATAACAGTGTGAGAGAGGCTGAATGCATGCCAGAGAGTCAAGAGAGTAAGAGAGAGTGAGAGAGAGAGACAGAGAGAGAAAGAGAGCAAGAGAGCGCGCGTGAGGCAGGTGTGCATTTGGTCTGGAATCTTGCCAACTGCATTGCAATTAGCGAGCGATGCTCGAGGCGCTATGCAACCCCGCTTTTGACCTAGAAACTAGACGAGCATCGAGCATCGATCGTCGATCGTCGTCTGCATCCCCTGGCAGTTCCCCGAGCTCGACTCATTGGAGAGCAACTGATTTGGCTACCTGGGCACACGTGTAACTGCGATTTGGCAAATGCTGAGCAGCAGAGCGGCGTTGCGCTGCTCGGAGTTTGTAGATAGCCTCGTTGTCAGCATTGTTGCTGCTGTTGTTGCTTTTGTTTTTGCTTTCTGATATTTGTAAATGCTCGGAACAGCTGCTGCATATCGCTCTTAGTCGCGTTCTGGCGCAGATCACGAACGGTTCGTATTGCGCGCTTCAACTTTGACAAGCCCCAGCAGAAAATCTCTATACACATAGAACGTAATTCAAATTTTGGACTGCGCAGCGGCTCAATTTATATGCATTTTATTGCCCAATAACGCGCCAGTTTATCGGCAGTACGCGGCGTATACGCAACGGCCCAAACAACCAAAACGAGTTGTGCGCCAGCCATTGGACAGCGCGCTCGAAGCTCTGCAAATCGTACGACTGTGACGATCGCTGTGATTGCCAATAAAGCAACAACGATTAGACCGTACATACATATACATATATATATATCAGTGCATGACTGACTGCTATCGGCTGCCATGGGCTACGACGACGTTATCACCCACTTGGGCGAGTTTGGGCGGTATCAGAAACGCATCTACCTGCTGCTCTGTCTGCCGGCCATAGTCTGCGCCTTCCACAAGCTGGCTGGAGTGTTTCTGCTCGCCCGGCCCGAGTTCCGGTGCCTGCTGCCGCACGAGGATGCGGCCACCGCCCGCTTCGAGTCGCTGCCCCGCTGGCAGTGGCCGCGCGCCTACCCCAACGACAGCGTCATCGGCAAGCCCAACACCTGCGTCTACTACGATCTCAAGTACAGCCCAGAGTATCTCGAGGGCAATCGGACGGCGGCCAGCAATGCGAGTACAGTGGTGTGCAGCAGCTACGTATACGATCAGTCCAAGTATCTCAATAGCGCCGTCACCGAGTGGAATATGGTCTGCAGCCGCAGCCTGTTGAGCGCCACCAGCGACTCGCTGTTCATGGTGGGTGTGCTACTAGGCAGCTTCTTCTTTGGCCAGCTGAGCGACAAGCTGGGACGCAAGCCCACCTTCTTTGCCGCCCTGGTGACGCAGCTGGTCTTCGGCGTGGTGGCGGGCGTGGCGCCGGAATATTTCAGCTATACGATTTCCCGGCTCATTGTGGGCGCCACCACATCGGGCGTGTTTCTGGTGGCCTACGTCATTGCCATGGAGATGGTGGGCGCCACGTATCGCCTCTTCGCAGGGGTCACAGTGCAAATGTTCTTCTCCGTGGGCTTCATGCTGACCGCGGGCTTTGCCTACTTCATCCACGACTGGCGCTGGCTGCAGATCGCCATCACGCTGCCCGGCCTGCTCTTCATGTGCTACTACTGGATTGTGCCGGAGTCGGCGCGCTGGCTGCTGTCCAAGGGACGCAAGGACGAGGCCTTCGTGATCATCGAGAAGGCGGCCCGGGTCAATGGCGTGGAAATACCCAGCCAGATCTATGCCCAGCTAGTCGATGAGGCCGAAGAGATTAATCGTAAGAATGCCTTGGCCGCCGCCCAACCAGCAGCCTCCGTGTTCGATCTGCTGCGGTATCCCAACTTGCGGCGCAAGACGCTGCTCATCTTCTTCGACTGGTTCGTGAACAGCGGCGTCTACTACGGCCTCTCGTGGAACACGAACAACCTGGGCGGCAATCAGCTGCTGAACTTTGTCATCTCCGGCGCCGTGGAGATACCCGGCTACCTGTTGCTGCTCTTTACGCTCAATCGCTGGGGTCGTCGCACCATCCTGTGCGGCACCATGCTCGTGGCCGGAGCCAGCCTGCTGCTGACCATCGTCGTGCCCAGCGACATGAACTGGCTGCTGATTGCCTGCGCCATGATCGGCAAGCTGGCCATTACCTCGTCCTATGGCACCGTGTACATCTTTACGGCCGAGCAGTTTCCCACGGTGGTGCGCAATGTGGGCCTGGGCGCCTCCTCGATGGTGGCGCGCGTCGGTGGCATTTTGGCTCCGTATTTGAATCTGCTGGGCGAAATCTGGCGACCCCTGCCGCTGGTCATTTGTGGTGCGCTCTCGCTGACCGCTGGGCTGCTGTCGCTGCTGCTGCCAGAGACGCTGAACAAGCCGATGCCGGAGACAATTGCGGATGGCGAAAACTTTGGCAAGAAGTCCAAGCAGACGGAGGAGCCCCGCGCCGAGGAGTTGCATAGCATGCTCAATGGCAAGAGTACGAAGGAGGGGTGAAGGATGCCGGAGCAGGGCCTGAGTGGACATTTAAGTGAATTGAAGCAATTTGCATTTATTTATTCGATGAAAAAGTATTGCAACTCATTCGTGTATTGAACTGTACACCAAATCGTTTGTAGAAACTCAAATTATATACATTTATTGTTCCATTAAAAGAGAAGCAAAGCGAAACAAAGACAATTATCATTATTGAGGGTGTCTCTCCTTCTTCTTCTTTTTAAATAATATATTTCATAATAATTCATTTCTTATAAACTTTTTATAGACTTAGATTAGCTGCAGAAATGGGTCTCTTTATAGAGATGGATTCGCCATTGTTAGCGATAGGAAAGTGAGAGTGAAAGAGAGAGCGCGCGCTCTACTTTAGCTAGAGTTCATTGTACAGGCAAGCAGCTATTATTAAATCAAGCGTAAATAATTTAATCATTGTTATAAAATATTATTTTATTTTATCAGCTGAAGCGTAAACTTCTCTTATTTTTATTTTTGGATACGGCTGCGTTTTTGTTTGTTATCACAAATTGTGTTCCCATAGCAACTGTAACAGTTATACATTATCAGTCAAACTGTTAATATAACAAAAATGTTTAGCGATTTAGTATTTAGTATTTTCAAAAGATTTTATCAACAGCAGTCACTTCTTATTATTTTGAATTATTTTTTTGTCATTTGCATGGTTCAAAAATCATAAAAAAAGGTATACTTAATTATTAAGCAAACAATAAATATTGATCTGGTCTGAAGGCTGATTTCATTAGGCGCAGCTCATTTGATCTGTATTCTCACTGTGTGCATTTAGCTAACCAGAATAAACGTGGCGCAAATGATATGATGACAACTTATGCTCAGGGTTAAAATAGTTATGAGTGTCAATTTCAATGTCTGTGTCAAAATTGAAATGATTGAGTTTAAACAGATCTGAACGGATTAACAGACTGTTTTGCGAGACTTGCAAAATAAATTTATATGAGTTGATAATAGTTATATTATAAATTCTGATTGAGGAGGGCTTATCTTTGTAGACATATTGCATACACAAACATCTGTTGATAATGATAGTACATAATCTAAGATATTATAAGGAATAGAGATAGCATATCTTAATATATGAATGGCTAACTTAAAAGCTAGACTATTTATATTTCCTATTCACAAATCATAAGACCTGAAAGGGGTTACTGGAGCTCCTCGTATGGCTAGCAAATATGCTAACAGTAAGTCGAACTCCAAGGAGGCTCAACAGAAGGCAGCCAAGGGATTTAGCAAAAAAGCACACAAAGGAGTTACTAAACTACTCCGTATGGCTTTAATAAATCAAAATATCAAAAAAAAAAAAAAATAAATAAAAAAAAAAAAAAAAAAAAAATAAATAAAAAAAAAAAAAAAACAAGTTTGTGAAGTTTTTAAATAATGTTTGTGAAGTAACCGACATCTGTGACTTAAAATAGTTCTACCCCAACGATAAAAGCGTCCTGAGAGTGTGTTGCTGCACTTCTCTGCTATAAACTTTAAGTAAAGTTAATATACTCAATGTAATTAGTTTGGACTACCATGCCGTAGCAAAGTTTCTAACGCTACAGCCTGAAAGTATGCAACCAAATTTGCACCTTGTTTCGCTCCGTCTCGGATTCATTTTTTGCAGTGCAAATGCAGTGTA